TATGAAGCTAATGATCCCAATCTTTAAATTGCTACTATTACATTAATGGGCATGAGAATAAAGGATTATTTCCTCCTGTACAGCAATGGATTTATCTGCATCTATGCCTCTTATGACGTCACGTTTAGCCACACCCACCGACAGGAAGTAACATTGAAGCAAGCAAAATGAGCATTTTTGAAGGCTCATATCTCAGTGAATAAATTTTTTTAGACAATAGGAGTTGGAGCACATCATTATTATGGTCAGGCAATCATATTAAGATCATAAAATAAATACCCTAAAAATACATTGCAGTTACCCTTTAAATGATACATAAACTTCTTCATTAGGAATTATGACCAACTCATTCACATTGCCTGGAACTAAAAACTGGATGTCAATTAATAGCAAATTAATATTAAACTTTTTACCCGTTAATTTAATGCAAATGTAATGACTGTAGTTCACCTGAGATCACTACTACAAAAGGAGGAGCCACCAGTTCTGTTCCACTAACAAGTAATCCAGCTTATGGACCATTGAGAAATTAATGTACTCATTGTCAAGTTGTTTTTATATTTAGCGTGGTGTGATTAATTAATCACTAAAAATCTTTTATATTGTTAAAATTTTGCATTGTTTTTCTAGTTCTGACCTTTTGACAGTTAAAAAAAATTTTTAATTTTTTTCTCAATGTGTACTTGTTGTAATTAGACGTTCCTCATCTTCATGCTGTGTATCAGTGTTACTGTATAAATGAAAGAGAAAGCAGATGAACACAAAACACCTAGCAAATTATACTTATCATTACCCATTCACGTGTATACTTTTATTGAGCAAACAGTCAGCAAGATAAGACTAAACTGCTATCCAAAAACTTCTCCAGCAGCAAGGAAGGTCATACAGCACAACAATGGCGTGGCTCAGGGGGGGGGCTGAGCCCCTTAATGTTTTACATTCTTCTAGTTGAATAACACAAATGTGTACACAATAATACCATCAATGACAAAGATATACCAGTTGTATAGTACAGGGGCAGCTGACACTAAGCATGTGATAATACATAATGCACACCATAACATACAAATGGACATCATGAGCATACATGTACATATGCTACACATCATCCTCATATTATTAGGACACACATAAAAGGCAAAACAAGACAGTGTGCTTATACTAGTTCAAAGTAGTTCAGTAATTAATTAATAATAGTTCCCATGGTTACTTCCCCTCACTCTGCGTCTATCATGATGATGAGTCACATGAGAATACGTGACTTGATTACTGGTGTCCTTGGGTCTCTGGTGGCGTCTACCAGACGACGAAGAACTATGATCAAGATCAGCATACTCAGTACCCTCTGGAGGTGGTGGTGGGTTATGAGATGCTGCCGATTTTTGAATGGCAGAATATAAAACCTGATTATCAGCTTCGGGTGAAATTGCTTTTGCTGGTTTTGGAGGAGCTTGTATCGTAGAGGAAGATGATTTAGCAGAGTAGTCTACTTGAGCATAGTTATAAGCCTTGAGAAGAGAGAGAGAGGGAGAAAGATCAATAAATAATATAAAAGCAAGCATTCACACAGACACAAACACCTGCTAAACCAGCTGCACAGTCATTAATATAGTAACATTATTGTTCGAAATAATGACAAGCAACATCATCACATGCACACACACACACACACACACACACACTTTTTCATTATGAGGACAATATTATATTATTTTTACATGTATATATATAATTGCAGATAATGATACCTGACAAACTACAAACTTCCCATTAAGTTAAAGACAACACAAACATAAAATACACTATACAAAAGGTTAAGACAACACCTAACAAAAACAAATTTTAAATGTATGTACATGTACAACTAATGGCTTATTTTAACTCTTGAGAAAAACAACATTAAAAAAAACATTGTCACATCATAAAGGTAAACCTTTTAAAATATAATGACTGTGTGTAACAAATTACAATAATATTAAGCTCTGTGGATATTAGAAATGGTGTTTAGCTAGGCAGCTGTTTGTGTTCGTGTGTAAATTTACTTCAATCATTTGAGGAGGAACAGAAGATTTTGTGTCTTTGTTTTTTTTCTTAACATAACATATAATAGCAATCACCAA